CTCATTTACGGCTCATTGAATAATATTTATTTTCATCACATATCATCAGATAACATTGTATATAGTTTTTTCTTTAATTGGCACATAAACAAAATTAACTATTATTTGACGAAAACATTTTATTTTGGTATATATTTTTATATCTTATTTGTGAATTATAAAGCTAAGAGTATTTAAAAATACTTCAACAGTAAAACGTTTTTATAACGACATATTAAGATGTTCGAAAAATAAATAAATCCGCTATGAACAGTTACTATAAAAAAATATTTCATTATATTATATATTTATATTAATAGTGGTATGAATATGATACGCAAAATTGATATTTATTGTTTTCCGTTACTCAGCTATTTCATATATGATAATAACTATTCAAGTCTATGTTCAATAAATTATATGTTTTAACAAAGAATATAATGTATTAGTAGTGCCACGATAATTGTCACTAGCGCTCCAGGACATTTATATTTAGTGCCTCTAATCACTAATAACGTGAAATTTGATAATATTTCTTTGGGAGAACTAAAATGGTATATGCATTTAACAAATAAATGTAAACTAAAATCATCAGTTCATACAACCGTCTCTTCTAAAAATTTTATAATTTTTCAATTAAGTACAATCAAAATTAATTTGAGTTTATCAAAATATTAGATAACACGTCATTTTGTACAAATAATTTATAATATTTTAATTATCATCATATCTTTATACTTGCATATAATGATTAATGGTTATATAGATATAATTTTCTGTTGTGATCGTTTAACTTTTGAATGAATAGGCTGATTTAAATAAAAATTGTATCAATTAATTCCTTGAGACTCTGAGAGTATTTATAAATTATTAACTCAAACCCCTATGAACTATAGATTACTATAGAGTGGTTCACACACCACACATGCATTTTTTTATTGGCTCAGAAAATCAAATATTTTTTTTGTTTATCTAAATGGTTACCATTGATTACAGATTATATTTCTAATATAATTAGTAGAAATATAACACATAAAAATGTTAATAAATATGTTTTTTATAAGGTGGACAAGTGGCTACCACTTTTCTTTATAGAAGATGTCACTCTAATAGATGTTTTAGTATAACTTATTCTTATATTTAAATTTAATGCTATATAATTGTATACCAAACAACATTTTGAACTTAGACCACAGTTTGTTTGCTCATATATAACATAAGAAATACTAAATAAGTTTATTTACTAATTGTTAAGAACATTTCATAATATGTAGTTAATTGATATTTCCATTAAAGTAATTCATTTTGTTATCAATATTACAATAAACTGGTTTAATTTTTTTTTTTTTTTGAAAAAATTGTATTTAATATAATATTATGATTATTAAATTATTATAATAATATATGTTTATACCATTTTAATATATAATTGTTATAAACTTTAAGTCAATACTATCTTACACTAAAACAATACGAATATATTTATGGTATAAATAGATAAAATCATTAAAATTAATTTATATATTTTAAACACTTCGTTCAAATAGTAAAATTCATGATATAATGTTTTCAAATTATATCAATATAATTAAAATTATTATTCATTATTAAAGTATATAATTTAGTTCAAATTTTAATTTCAAGCATTCATTAGGAATGATTGTGATTATAAATTTTTTAGATTTTTCTAGTATGAAGCCTTAGCTATAAAAATTGAATATTTTATAAACTTTTTGCTAAAAAATACTTGTAAATTTGACAAATTTTGTAAAAATTTAAACTTTAACTCCTTACAAAAAAATTTAAATCCTACTATAAATTTTTATACATATATAAAATCCATTTATATGAGATCTTGTATTCAGTTCTTAAGAATTTTGAAAGCCAACTAATTCCCCCATTAGCTACAGGCCAATCAATCTTCTACCACACTATCCAAAATGTACGAAGGGATATTGCTGGAGAGGTTAAAACCTTACCTTCACATTATCCCGAAACACCAATTCGAATTCAAAACTAAACACTCCATATTTCACCAAATTCAGCGCATATCTGAAATAATTGTATACGGTTTCGAGAAAAAACAATACACTACAGCAGCATTCCTAGACCTAACACAAGCTTTTGATAAGGTCTGACACAGTGGGCTTGAACAAAAACTAAAAATATTAAATCTCCCTGTATAGGTACCTACTCAAAACTATCGCATCCTTCATATCCAACAGATCTTTCAAAGTAAGAGTAGAAACAGACTTCTCACAACTACGACACATCAAAGCTGAAGTCCCTCAAGGATCATTCCTGAGATCAACTCTTTTTAATATTTACTGCTACAACATTCCAACCCCTTGCAACTCTCAATTAGCAATGTTTGTGGACAATACAACAATTTTCACTCAAGAAAGTTCTTTAGAGTTAACAAGTCAAAATCTACAATTCTCATTAAATGAAATAACTATCTGGTTCAAAAAATAGAAGTTAAATCTAAGCCCAACTAAAATTGAGGTTAAAATATTCACCCTTAAAAGATATAATAACCCCAAAAACATCCACATAAACAACTAGGTCATTCAATGGAATAAAAAAGACGACGCAGTCCGCAGTCAAATACTTACATGGAATATTCATATAAACAAAAAAAACTCGCACAGGGCTATACAAGGATGAGAATTCTTTACCCTCTAGTCAACTATAAGTTAACACTACAAATCAAGTTATCACTCATCCTATACACCTCAATAATCAGACCACTTTTAACATATGCCTGCCCTATTTGGGTGGCAGCCTCATCCATTAAAATTAAAAAAATCCAAACTCTTCAAAACAAATTCCTTAGGATTTGCTTAAAAGCGCCCTGGTTTATGAGAAATCGCCAAATACACAATGACACTGGAAAATCCCTGGTAAATATCTGGATTAAAACCCAACTTAAAAACTTTCACGCCAATCTGAAAGACTAGGATGGAGCCCGCCATTATCAACTAGGAAGAAAAACCCAAAATAAGCGACTGTAACCTCGACTGCCCCAAGACATCCTCCTAACGAACACTGAAAAGCTCTCATCGGAAGACGAATAATAATATCAAGCTTATAAATATGTATTAAAATACCATTATTATCACTAATTTAAATGTAAAAACTAAATTTTAACTAAAATCTTAATTTATTGTACTTGTAATGGCACCTAATGTGCTGAAACATTTTAATATTAATACTCGTAAATAAAAAAAAAAAAAAAGAATTTTGACCTAGAAAATAATTTTTACTGAAATTTATAGCAAAAAAATCTAAGAAACTTTCAAATTTCTCATGCCTTAAAATAACTAAAAAAAAGTCAAAATATTTTAAAATTTAAATAATGTATAGAAAATAATATTTGAACTGACGATAAAAATTTCAAATTCCTATGATTATTCGTTTTTGAATTATGATAAAATAAAGAAATACATATTATTGAAAATTGGATCAACGAAACTATTTCAGTTTTTGTTATTTTTTCCCAATTATTGTCACTGTGACGTAATGAAAATACAATTTTATTGTTATATGCTTCCAACTCGTTTACAAATCATTAATAAAAATACTAAGAATTCTTTACTGTTGACTTCCCAAAGTACCTATTAGTTTCTATTTTCTACTAGAAACCACAATCTAAAATACATATTTTTTATTTGGCACCCTAGTTAACTTGGCCCTTTTGTCACCTCTAAGCATAGCCCCAGGAAGGTAATTATTCTGAATATTGCCATAATGCTAAAACTGTAAGCATGTATCGTAATATAATAATTTTAATATTTTAATATTTAGAACTAATAACTTAAAAATTAAATATTATCTAACTTTTATTTAAACTTTCACTTTTAATAATTTTGAAACTTATCTAAATTTTTAATCTCATATTACGTAGAAGTAATTTTATAATTCTACAAATTCAAAAACAACTACAAACTTATTCAAGAATATGAGGTACGAGAAATATTAAATAAGTGAATATGAAATACAGCACAATATTTAATTTACCATAGCTGTCGAGCCCCAAGTATTTTTGTACTTATTGTAAGTACTCACGTTGTTTGTATAATCTTTGAACTTGCATTTTTTTTTTTTTTTTTGATTAAAATATTTTATAATTTTTTTTTAATTGTCTACTATTAATTTTCAACTATATCTACTACAACTTTTTTATACAAATTCTATCATCATCATATATATGTCATTATTAATTGAAAATGTTATTCTATACGACACCGTCGCATTGCCGCTTTATTTTATCAAATTTTTAATAAAATATCATGTAAAATAATTAATAATTAATTTAATTTTAAGGTGTAAGGGTATTACAGAAAAATTTTCATTTTAAAAATCATAAGAAACGGTTAAAATTAATCTCACGAATCATAATGCACATGGAACCGCGATATTTCCGTCCACCTGTGATAATTTTCCTATACATTTTCTCGTGATACTAGTTTTTGTAAGTTAAATGTTTCAAAAAAAGTATAATAAAACTAATGTTTACATAAAATTAAAATGTATGAAACAAACTGTTAACTTCAAATTGTCAAACAAGAAAACATCGATGATTGTACTGCAGTGTACACATCAATTATTTCTAACTCATATTATATACTTTAAATTATTTAAATAAATTCATTTGAACTCAATTGTTATTCACCAGTATGATATTCAAAACGTTATTATTAACTCTAAAAAATATAGACTGACACTAATTTTCAACATAATAATGTCGTTAATTTCATGTATTTCTAAACCTTTCTGACCTTTGTGGATTGAACGCTTGATATACGTGTTATTAGACATAAATATTGTAATCTCTTTCATTGCCCTATAAAGAATATTAACAACTTATACGCATATATTCAATAATACACAATTAAAATAACTGATATAAATAAACTGATAATAGTCTATGTATTTAGGTTGCTATTAGAATATGTTTTCAGTTCTCAACTATTGCTCCAGCATTTCACATTAATACTTAATATTTACATAAATACTGAAAAGTGTATCTCTAAAAGTTATTAATAATTATTATTTTAAATAGAAAGATTCACGTATTTTGATTATTTTTTTTTCAAATATGGCGAGTATCGATACTTGTTTGTCAGTTACGCAAAAAATATTTAAACAAAAAAAGGTAATCAAATATATTTGTATTTACAATTCACTAATCATTAATATTAACTTATATTTTATGATATAATATAATTAATATATACATAAATATTATAATTTGTATAATATGATTTATTTTAGTGTATCTACTCATAGAATTATTTAACTTACCTTAGCTTGTATTTTTAGATAATATGTAATATCAAGAAGATACAAATTTTTGTTTCATATATTTGGCTGTTTTTTTTAATTATCTACTTTTTAATGGAGTATATACTTTAAATATATTGGTAATTCACATACCTACTTAAAATATAATTTTTTATTAAAATTTACAAATTTTTTTATTTAAAACTAAAATAGAAATAAGTTTATATAATAAGAAAATTTTAAAGTGTTAGCCATTTTTTCCTCGAATGTAATTTTTAAATACTAAATTAATAAATTATCATAATCGAATTTTGATTCAATAATTTATCATTATTTTTTTTTTTTACATTTCAAAATAACCCTCCAATAACGCACATTTATCTGGTCTCAACATTTAAAATACCTACATTAAAATAACATTAAATAGAAAGTTCATACTTAACTCGCATTTTTTAAATCATTATTGAAATTTTTCTGAGTAAATATTTCATATATATAATATTTTTAAATTGATGAATATTTTTATACAGACTTGTAGGAAATTGTACAGTATTCAACATCTATTGTCTAAAAGGAATCAGTCGACAGTATCACAAAATGACTTCGAAAAGGTAAACTTTTAAATTAATATCACCTAATATTATCTGTGTAATGTATACAATGTTCAGGACCAAACTATTTAAACCAAAATTGTTCTACTTAATATGTTATTAAAGTATAAACGGTATTGTCTTACCTTGACCGATTTTTAGTTGATCCTTCATATATTTCGATATAGATTTAGCTAATATAAATGTAATAATAGCTATATAGATTAGATATTGTGTAAATTACTTAAATTCAAATTTCAACGTATAGAGCTAATATTTTTCTATAAATAAATTTAACTATAATGGTTAAGTAAAATAATGATTAAATATTAAATTTAAATTATTACACCGTAACCTGAAGTAAATATTTACGCTTTATTTGATAAGAAACCAATATATGTATATAAACATAGTCATACATATATTAATTTTCAAAGATCAAAAAAATTGATGTTTTTAACATCTGAACAAATATTGTTTTATATATAGTGTAACTCTTTCATTTTAAAATTTCAAATTAATGCGAATTATACGTCATATTCAATATTTAAAGTTTGCAATTAAAAACAGATATAATTTTATTAATTATTACATAATAACTAGATATAATTAATCAATAATAATTTTTTTAAATATCAAAGTGAAAATCTCTGTATGTACTTAAACAAAAAAAAAAATTCTATGATTCATTAAAAATTGAATAAATAATCCCAATTAACGAGTTTTTATCAGAAATTAATTACCTATATATTATATTATTATGTATTATTTCAATTAAATGAATTACATTATTTTTAATACATTATATTAATTGTTAATTTGAACATTATTAATAGTAATAAATGGTATTAAAAATTATTGGGATGCACCCATTCTTTTGAATAAAATCTTAAACGTTTTTTAAAACAATATTACGCGATCGGAAATAATTTACACTAATGTTTAATAAATGATAAAATTACAATTGCTTATTTCGACAGCATTTATATTCATTAGAATAACATATATATATATACATGCAATAGAAGTATTTTTATTACATCGATAACTACCTACATAATTCATATTTCAATGAACTCTAGTAATCAATAATTAAATTAATTATTATGTATACATGTATAATGTATATATGTTATATGTATACAAATATATAATAATAGTGTATAATGATACTAAAACAATACGTAACTAATTATCAAATTAAATATGCAAATATAAATTTCACAACTTAATTATATTTTATTAAATCATCATTTAAATATTTTTCTGTCGTACATGATAGTATTCTTTTATTGCAAATATTTTTTTTTAAGATATGTGTTCATTTTAATTTTATTTATAGTGTGTGAAACCAGATATCGATATCACATTATGCAAATCCTCGAAGCTTAATGACAATGTCACCAATATTCTAAAAAGTGGCACCCAAATTAAGTTTGGTACTATTTTCACAGACCACATGCTCAAAATACACTATGACAAGCATGCAGGTGGCTGGCAGAAACCATACATCACGCCTATGGAACATCTTCACTTACATCCCGCAGCTAAAGTTCTTCATTATGCTACTGAGGTAAGATAATATATATTAAAATGAATAAATATATTTAATCTAAACAACTATAATGATGAATATTCAAACATACACACATTACTTATTTAATAAGGTTTACCAGAAGCCTATTAAATTAAAGGTCAAAAAAGTAATCTGCATGCTAATCAATTTGCTATAATTAGTACTCGCCGTTTACCAGTTACAAAATGGTAGAGTAGTGCTGTACATTTTTCATACTATTATTTCAAATTTTACAGAATCCTAAAAAGAAATAATGGATATCGTGTATATTAAAATACGTAATTACTTTTATTATTGTCAGTATTGACTACACAACGTAGCATAATATTATGGATTCCATAGATGCCCATGCTAGTTATGATCATTGCATTAACTTTTTTTAAATCATTTTTATGTACTTTTATTCTTTTTATAAATAAACATTATAATAACTGAGAAGCTCTAATTGAATCGGATTTTGAATTGGGTAAATAATTAAGTAAAAAATATTAAAAAAAATTATCCACTCAAAAAAGGAGGGTTTTGATTTGAAAAAAAAGAAATTTGTATCGTCACAAAACACTCCTTAAATAGCATAACAAATATTAAAAATCTAAAATATAGTCTTTAATCTTTAAATATATTTAAAAACTACAAAATCATATTTTGAATTAATTCATTATTTAAGGAAAAATAGAAGTAAGCGTATTTGATAAATCAATCTGTACATACAAAATTATTTCAAAAATGATTATGCAATATAGTAACATTTATCTTCAGAAGTCATTGAGTTGACGATCCCTATATTAGATATAACCATGAAAAAAAGTTCTACTTTCACAGATATTTTTCATGGAAATAATGATTTTTAATAAAAACAAACATATTACTAGGCACTTACAGGGCTACAGATATTAAATTAAATTAAATTTTATAGTTATGTATGCTGTACATACTAATAACGTAAAGGTTAAAACATAATTTCCATTTTTTTAAATAATAATAGTACAAAAGTATTTTTTCTTCTGCTTTTAAAATTAATTTAAATCCATTTATCAACATTAAACGTATGATAAATTTCCAAATTTAATGTTTTTAATCCACTTTGATTGTTTTATAATTCGGCAAAATCTTCAAGTATACGCTAGGGGTAGATAAAAATATGTGTACCTATTTATTACATTTTATAGACGTTAAGATTGTGCTGTTTGTTGAGGAGTACAATAGATAACATCACATAATAAATAAAATGTACAATATCGCTGGACTAATAAACATTATTTTATACTTTCCTTTTTTTTTTAGATATTATTTTAAATATCTACAGGTATATTTTAATGCCAAATGCTCAATACAATGATAAAATTTTCATTATTATATTAGTTATATTTATACTTCATTATTGGTAAACACATAAACTACTAGCTACAAAAGTAATTCCTAGAATTAATTTTATATTAACATATTATAATATTATTTATGTTTTAAATAGTTTTAATAGTAATTATATAGTATTTTTTTTAGTACAATCTAGTATTACAGACCAAGCAGGAAATTATTTTAAAACTTAATGATATATAATAATAAATACGACGAATATTTTAATCATAATTTAATGTATATATATAGACATTTTAACAACTGTTTAGGTAGTATAAAAATATATCAATAAATTACAATCATTAGCAACTAAATACTAAAAATATAGCATACACGATGAGCGTGCGTGCTCACTACTCACAGTATATAGGTACCTGCGTCATATACTTTTACACAATAAGACGATAAAAAATAAAATTAAAGAATGATCACATGTAAACGGTGTAATATTGCAAAATATCTACTGAGTAAAGTGTGTACTCTATCGTGTATTCGTCTTTTAAATTCAAATTCTATAAATTCTAATACCGTATACGTATTAAGTATGTAAATAATACAATACACAGATATTGTATTAGTATGAAAAAGTAAAAACTAAACATATTTTTTATTTACTACTCATATAACGTTATTGTACAAAATATTTGTGCTAACCAATGAGCACAAGAAAAATTAATTTAAAAAAATACTAAATTATTTTAAATTATTATTTTTCTTTCGGTATGAAGATGTATTATAATCATTTCAATAACGGTAGACTGATAGTGCCGATCTTTACTTCAAAATGTGTATTTTGAATGAGTTTTACAATAATTTGAGAGCAACCCTCTATATTTAGCTTCTTTTAATTAGTTATTATTGCATTAAAAAAACGATAACTAATAAGTTATCATTGATATCTTATTAATAGCTTATTATGCAAATATCCAACACCAATACACTATATCATACTCAAAAATAAACTTTCAAATTAATTATAGGTACAATGAGTAATCACTTTTAAATAAATCTCATATACTTTTAGTCTAAAAATTATACTATTAGTTAAAATAATTACCTTGAGTCCTTGAAACATTTAAAATTAATATATTATAATAAATAATAATAAATTTCCGACAAAAAAAGCGTATTCCTATTTTAATATATTGTTTTATTGCGTAGGTATTCGAAGGAATGAAGGCATATAGATCAGAACATGGCCACATGAACCTATTCAGACCAGAATTAAACTTGCAGAGGTTAAACAAATCAGCTAAACGAGTAGGCCTACCATCAATAGATTCTGACATATTACTCAAAGGTATTGAACGCCTAGTATCTATCGACAACGAGTGGTTACCCGTGTCTGCGCCGCTCAGTTTATACATTAGGCCTAACCTCATAGGCACAGAAGTAAGTACCTGACTTGTTAGAAAAATAAAATCTTTCCTGGTAAAGTTCAATCAAGTATATTTGGATATGATTTCACAAACAGGCCTAGTTGACAATTATTTATTACCCTTCACATTGTACTTGAATAGCATTGTTAATTCATAGTTTAAACCTACTCCTTCTCACCGCTTTTTAGAAACTTATATGTTCCTAGTAAAAATATTCTGTGTGCTTCAATTTTAAATGCATTTATATGTAGCAGTCTCATTTTTAAATAAAAATAAAAATGCACTTAAAAAATATCGGAAACAACTTAAATATTCCTTCCACATTACTGACAGTGGTAGGTGCAATTGTTTATAGAAAAAACCTTTTAAAAACTTGAAACACTAAAAAAAATCTGCAAAACATGATAATTTGAAAAAAAAACTTATATTATTATATAATATATATATTGAAACATAAATTATAGCAAAAATATTATTTTAATTACAATTTTAAACAATACGCAAATAAGTATTAATTTTTACTCCTATAATTTGAGTGTGATTTAAAAACTCATTTGTAAATAAGTTGGCCAATTACATTTTTGAAATAACGCCAATCTCGCTGTATTATCTATTAAAAATATTTGATAATTATATAACTAAGGTATTTTACACAAATATTATGCATTTTTAGGGCACACTAGGCGTGGCACAAGCTGATACAGCCCTTCTTTACGTAATAATGTGTACAGTTGGATCATATTTCTCTAGTAAGTTCAAGTCTGTTCGATTGATGGCCAACCCAAAATTCACTAGAGCATGGCCTGGTGGTTGTGGTGACTTTAAAATAGGCGCTAATTACGCCACCACATTATATCCTCAGGTAAGTTTCTTAATCAAGTACAACGTAGGTCGTAGAGTAATACATTTTGTATAAGACAACTATAATATAATTTTACAAAATTGTAATGATTTGTACTCTAAAAAATAAACTAAAAATAATTTATATATATTAATGTTCTTATCAAATATTTTTATTTATTTATTTATATTCTAATTAACTAATTTTTCAAAAAAATATATATTTTTGTTACTTGTTTTGTTTAAACCAATTTTTAAATCAAATAACTTAAATAAAAAGAGTTTATTATATATTAAATAATGTTTACGGTATAGTAGTAGACCTAGTTTGTGGTAAGCAATTAATTTTTAATAACATAATAATAATGTTCGATATACTTTATAAATATAATTATGTAGTAAGAAAATAATTAAATATTAAATTAGGTATAACTTTTCAAAAGCTGGGCTAGCAATGGTTATTATTAATTGGTCAAATGTTAAGATTAATAACATACAGTAGCTTAAAAATAAGTATCGAACAAATTGAATAAGTCTGTTAAAATAAAAATATGAATCTCAGTATTAATTTTCAATTTTTTAATATTTAAAAACCGTGTTAGGTATATATTAATTATTCTAAGAATTTATATTTTTTATTTTTTTTTTTTTATTTTAATGTCTAAAATGAAAGTTTTTGAATTTAGAAAAGTTAAGTATTATATTTAGTAAAATTTTATATAGAGGTATTTATGTACTCACGAATTTATTGTTTTTCAAAATAAATGTTTTAAATTAGATAGATAGGTATTTACACTAATAATTTTATCATATTTCATAAATATAAATACACATCGATAAACTATACACTATCAAAGTTAAATTTAACAATTTTAAATTTAAAAAAATTGGAACATTTTAGAACTCATTCCATTTACTATAAGTACTTGTTTGAATACCTACGATTAAAATATTAAATATATTTTAATTAGTCCATATGATACTGATAAAAAAGTACACACAAATACCAAGCATAGAATATAATTGATAAAAGAATACAATTATTTTATACTGACGCACTACCATTTAAACACTAATTTATGAATGATGAAATAATTATTTATCTAACTAGTAACTATTATCATATATTCATATTATTATCAATTCTAATAGGTAATACCAAACTAATGATTAGGCCTATTTTATAATTAATATTAGCTAAAAATACTAAATCCTATTGATTATTATATTCAATACTCATACGTTAGTAAGTAACACTAAATACTGTAAAATTAGTTTCTGTTAAAATATAAAATGTCTGGGTGGTATTAATAAATAATAATAAGTACTTAACAATTAAATGAAACGAATATCACAATTAACAAGTACCGAATAAAAAAAAAATGTACAACTTTATAATGTTCATACCTATTACAGAAACCTATAAAATGCTCTCAATTTTATTTCATAAGCACATTAAATTTGGACAAAATAAAAATAACGATAAAGTAAATTAATATAATAATAAAGAATAATATTTTGAGTGAGTACCTACTTACCCATACACAATAATAATTGTTATAATTATTTATTAAATCATCATTAACATTACATTTATAAATGTATAATAGGTACATAATAAAAAATTTTCAACTTACAAAAAAATAGAATGATGCTGCCCCCAAATCAAGCTCATAGGTAGTAGGGTACAACGAATTAACTATAGTAACAATCATAGTTTAAAATATTAATAACGGTCACTTTTCAATTTTTACATAACATTACATACGATCTAAGGTTGAACCAAATTAGTAAATAATTAGCTTAAAACTCAATATATATGGAGATCATATAGATGATTTTTAAACCATTGATTGCAGGAATTAGCTTCAAAATTAGGTTGTCACCAAATGCTGTGGTTATATGGTGAAGACCGGCAAATCACAGAAGTTGGAGCGATGAACGTGTTTATTTTTTACAAAAACCAAAATGGCGGTAATTAAACCAAAAATATATTATATTTTAATCTAACCTTAATAATTACTTTGTATATTTATTGAACTTTATTGGACATATTATAATTATTTCCAATTGTTTATTAATACAAATATAATATTATGTTTTATATGCAACTTATAGAAAAAGTATTAGCCACTCCACCATTAAACGGTATGATATTACCAGGCATCACCAGACAGTCGGTATTGGACTTAACTAAGGAATGGGACGAATTTCGTGTTGAAGAGAGAAACTTTACTATGAATGAATTAATTGAATTGAATAAAAATAACAAAGTAAGCTAATAACAATTAGATTATATCAAAATATATACTATTTTGTGCTAAATTGCTTTTATTTTTATTGCAAAGAAGATTTCACACGCAAAAATGAAATAAAACTAGATTTTTTAAAACAGAAAAAAATAAGTTCATACAATAATTATCATGAACAACTTTTAGGCAGTTATTATGCAAAATAAATAATATTACTGTTAATACTATTAATGTCCATTGATAATTAATATGATGAATTTTACTATTAAAATGTATATGAGTATTTCAAAATGTTACATAAGAAAAGATATATCGAGTAATTAAACTTAAAAACATAAGTATTCTTCAAACGAATAAAATAACATACTAATTGATACCTACTTTAACGATTGTAAAATTTAAATAACTAGCTGAGTATTGTCCCTTCATATTCATCGTGTTTCAATATTCATGCTACGTAAGCATCCTATTTTACATAATTTTAGTTATAACATAATTATTACCAGCTGTGAATTTATAATAAAATATAGAGATATTTAAACCTACTTTAAAAAATGTGCTAACAAAAATACAAAAGTATTATCATTCCGCCTTAAACTTCCTTTCGAATGTTTCAGATACTTGAGTTTTTTGGAACTGGTACAGCAGCAGTCATTAGTCCAGTATCGTCCATATTATACGAAGACGAAGACGTGCAATTACCAACCATGGAGCAATCGAATCCGTTGTACGCGAGGCTCTTCAAAACGATTACTGATATACAGTACGGTCGGATAGCGCATCCGTGGACTAGAGTAGTAGACGAAAGACCACATTTGTACGAATCTCAAAACTACAAATATGCCAACTAAAAACCATTATAACTTATTAATAGATCATCGCACGACACTTGATAGCGGTCAATTATTATAACGACAATTATTGCATAAAGCGTTTATTTTTTATAAACATAATAATTACAACTACCTACGTTAAGCTCCGTTTTTAAAGCAAAAAAAAAAAACAATATAATGTCAATTATATTAACAGCATTAATATAATTTATTAATTTCACCTTAGTATGCAGAGCTATTTTATACTTGATGAACATATTTTATCATCCAATCTACATTATCTACGTATAAAAAAAAAAAAAAAAAAACAACGAAATAGTTCTCTTTCTGATAATAAAATGTCTATATACATAATATAGGTACAGTTTATTAATGTTATTGTTACATAATATTGGAGAAAATGGAAAATGTTTAGAGAATAAAAAATCTTTTATGATAAATTACCTCACATTACAAATTGTCATACATTCTTTATAATATATTGTCCGCTATCTATCGACGGTATAACTGTTAACTAATGTGTTAGCTTATTGATTTTATTCTTTAACAATTTTATTTTTATATTTTATATATTTTATACTTCAATTATTTGTCAAGAATAATTAATTACTAAATCATTACCTGCAACAACATAACTATTTGTTCCATGTCATTTATACACGTTTTTCATCTCAATAAAAATGAATATTTACCATAATTTTATTATTATTGTACTCATATATATATTTATTTATTAACTTTATCAAAACTAACGAACCAAATTTTTTTCATATTTTCTATACTCGTATAATTAATTGATCTGACAATTTATATCACCTATCAAAAACTTACAGGTACAAAAAAAAATCCTTCATCTTTTTTATTTTATCTCTTCAAGCTCTAGCCTACGTGTCATAATATAGACAAAATTTTCTTAAGTAACCTTAGAGTAAAATTGCTCATTACAAACATACTTAACTGTGAATAATATTTAAGAATATAACATATCGATTTGTCAAAATATTATCTTAAAGCTATATTATAACCATTTTAATTTAAACTTTTTTTATTATTATTGTTTAAGTCGAGTGTAAGGTTAAATAAAATAGAAAATTGACATGGTAAACCTTCAAAAATATTATCCTTTATAATTTCACTCTATTATTATTTCAGGTTATTGAATATAAATCAAAAAAAATATAAACAAGTGGGTACCGCTTCTGCTATGCAGTAAATGATGAGTATTATTATTGTTGTTAACGTTTGAGTTAATGACATCTTACAGTATAAATTTATTCCTGGTATAAATTGGTAAATTGGTAGTATAATAAAACTAATTTATTTATTTTGAAAATATCATTGTAAAATTTATAATATACATTACAGTTTTAAATCCTATTTAAAAAAGTTTTTGAATTATAAGAAAATAATGAGAATCGTTATTTGTCGATTAAATAGGTAGTTTTGTCTAAATTTGAACTCATTTATCTATAAAAAAAATAAGTGTATTTAAATATTTTTCTGATCTTTTGGTTCTAGCATGAATTATTTATGAGTGTAAAGGATGGTTAATTGAAATGATTTTTTTAATTTAAATGATTAATTTTGTATTAAATTTACAAACTTTTTTGACTACGTGAATTTTATTTTAGATTTACAAAAATAAAACTAAATAGAGTACTTTAATTGCCTATATATAGCTCAAAAAGATCCAAAATATTATAAAAATTATTATGTGTAAAAAATGACTTTATAAACGTTTGGTGAAAACGTGAAATTTCTTTAGTTATTCGTTTTTTAATTCAAAAACGAATAAAAAAAAAAATAAGCCATAAGAAAACTCCGCCAATGTTAAATATCAAAAGATTTTTATTACCTTAAAAGAAGATAACAACCGACAGATCGAAACAAAAAAAAAAACATCATTGTAAATCAATAAAATCATCCCTCTGTTTAGATCTATAAAAAAATTTTACGTTAATGTGTTTGATAATTTTGATCTATGTTGCTTATCAGTCTGAAAGAAATAACAAATAATGTACCAACATTCTCTTTAAAATTAATTAACTTATTTGTAACTATAGTTATTAAAAAGTTTAATCTTTATAATTGATAACTATAATACAAATATAATACAAATGTGTAGGTAACTATTTTTATATTATTTACCAATTGAAAAGTACCTCTTAAAAATCATCGATGGTAAGTGAAGAGTGAAAAATATCAATCTTCATAGAAATATTAATTCTACCTATATGAACCTAATTAAGTTACCTACTCAACAACAAAAAATTAGTTCAGTTTATTAAATTGAGCAATTTTTCCAACTAACTTTGATATAATAGTTTTTAACGATGCACTTGTGAGTTGCGATTTGCCTACTGCAATATGTCTGTATAGTGTAGGTATACAAATTGAAACGAAAAACGGAAATAAAAATTAAAAACTTCATAACTGTTATAAATATTAAACATACATATTGCATAATAATTGTTTTTATTATTCATCAACTATAGATAATTATCATTTTAACACAAGTGTATCATCTATATACATTACCACCAAAAAGCAAGACTCTAGAGTGTTAAAGTTAGAAAGTTAGAGATAAATTATCTATTTTTAACTATATTACATAACAAGTTACTTTTAGTCATTTAAAAATTTCATCTTAACAAATTAAATTTTTTCCCGTGACAGATATATGACTACTAATCAATTAATTAACTTTTGTCACCTTCATTATATTTTTCTTAAATATAAACCTAAACGATTTAAAATAACCTTTATTTTTTTAGAAATTATAGTTAAAAAAAAAAATAAAAATACTCATCTGAAACTGGTAAGTATAACTTATAATGTTTTTATGTACATATATTTCATAGTAAATATCTACTAAATTATAGACTACTTGCGCAGTTGTGTGATATTTAATACCTGAATACTCTATTTTTTGATATCAATAAGAATCAAAATAACGCGTACAGTAAAGTTATATTAAAATATCCACGAAAAATTGCTATCTCACTCAAATATTACTTTTATGAAGTTTGATTGTCGTACTTTGAAAATTTGACGTAAATAGTAAATATTCAATTTTTTTTTTTTCTATTTAACTTATTACTTCTTTATGTTATAAATAAAAATAAATAGCTTTTAGCTTTAAACTTGACTTATATTTTTCTGCAACAACTATTCATTTAATGTATTAAAAGTATTGTTTGACTTCCCCAGCATGGCTAATAAGTATAAAATATTAAAATATCTATGTATGCATCTGTAAATAGGATTGGTCAATATCACTCATGTTAAATACCGGAATAGGATTTATTTTTTTTACTCCAATCGGACCTGCTAAATAATATGGTCAAAGACATTAAAATGTATAAAACGTATCCTGGATACGTATATCATATAAACAATCATAATTCATACGTTCTTCTTTGTATGAACAACCAATTAATTATTAATGTAAATTTATAGCTATACTTAAAGGTAATTATTTTTTTAGAATACTTTGTTATCATACAATAAAATTGTTTTTTTCATGGTAGATAATTATGTGGCGTGACAAGATGTAGGAGCAAAAGTACTTAATTGAATATTCTACGTCGTATAATGAGAAAAAAGTAAAAATAAATAAATTAAATAATTTAAATTTCTATATCTACCAGTTGACTTAATGAAAAATACATCTTATCGTATATTAATTAATTTAAAATTGAATTGCATATTTTATACTCTGCAAGTGCCTACGTGTACGGCATACCGAAACATTTTAACATTTTAATGTGGTACACTCTTCTAACTCTATATTTTGATAATTATTCCTTTTTAAATTTTAATACACAACACAATCATATTATACCTTACACTAATTGGTTAAAAATTAACGGGCTAACAGTGAAGTACCTACCTTACGCATTAACTCATATTCATACAACGTATCTATTATACCTAAATGTATAGCCATTCTATCATAAATCATGAAGTTCGACATTTTCGTGTAATGCGCTAATTATTTTGTTTTCAATTGAATATTAATTTTTCTTAATTAGGTTCACTATTCAATATATAATAATACAATTAAGGAAACTTCCTATAAATCATCTCCACTTTCATCAGCATCTTGTATTGTTATAAATAAACTATTAATTTAATAAGTAGCTTAATTCTTAACTCTTGAGTTCTAAAATTAATTAAACATTCAACTAAAAAACGTTGTATATTGATAATTGTATAATTTTATCACACGCGTAATACAGCTAATAAGAGCTCTCAATTTCCTATGGATCTCTAGCAATGTATATTATGCTTATATGCCGCCCGGGCTGCCACGGGCGCCACGCCGCATATGCCATACATATGTATACAATTTATACATTTATTTTAATTATTAATAACTAATTATTTGCTAACTTTATCGGACTAAATTTAAGCTTGTGACATTCACGTGATCATAAGGAACATATCAAAAAAAATCTGATCAAAATTGAACCGGTAGTTTTCGAGTTTACTTTACACCAAAAATGCGTTTACAGCTTTATATATTAGTATAGATTTCACTTCTTTAGAAATTTATTATAGTCTCTTGTTAATATATGAACTTAAGCTATTGATTGGTACTCATTTAAGGTTATTTTTAATTATATGATAAATTAACTTGAATTCCTAGCTTAAACAATCTGCAGTGTCAATTTTTCATCATCTACAGTTGTGTTAAGCAGACCAACTACTTATTATCAGTGTTAATCTGGTCGATTAATATTATAAAGTCTCACACTTCCTATCAATTGTACACTATTTTACTATCTATAGTAATTACTATTCTAAATATACGAACCTCGCTTGTATGTCATATGTAGTGTTCGCTTGTACGTCCACTGTTAGTAGTTATACTTACAGCCTTGCAGACAATGTGCTAATCACAATCTCTAGTAAAACCATAAATAAATTGTGATTTCATAAATATGATGTGTATTTTCATTTAATTTGTGCCTTTGTTCGTGATATGTTTACATTATTACATTTAGTATTTTTGTTCATTTAATAATTTACTGTATATAAATATCAGAAAATATAATGCAGATAATACCGTTACCGTATTGTCATTGAAGAATAAAATAAAGTTGAATGTGCTCAAAATAAGTTTAGAGTTATTTTCATATTGTTTTGAAGTTCGAATAGCATCCTTATTCATTTCGACTTAAATAATATGTAATAATAATATGTATATAAAATACATATTATT